CAGCAGCATTGCTGAAACCAGGTTGAGCCACTTATTAGGGAACCTTTCCTCCCAACCAAAATCAAGCTATGTATCTCCCAACTCCAGTTGCGAAGGACTATGAACCATGATGCTTTTGCTCAGGTCAATCAAAAATTGATTCGTCATTGGGTAAGACTTAGCACTGTCTAGTTAGACAGTTGCGCCCCCACAACAACAAGAATTTACTGGGGGCCTCCTTGGTGTCACGACCCAAGAAGAAGTCTTACTCCAATGATGAATACAGGTAACGTCTGATTTGTTCTATTGAAGGAAATTTCTCTTGATTAGTTTGTTGTCTCACTATTGCGATCCCCTCGACCAGAAGTCGGAGAGAGTCTACGGTGGAAGCCACCTAGACGATGATCTTCAATCCGGAAGCTCGGAGTCTACGGACGTTGATGAGGAGTACCAGTTTTGGGAAGCCATGAAGCGTGAATCTCAGATGCTGATCGCTGTAAGCCTCAGAAGTCACTCATTGAAGAGGACGATGTTGAGCACAATCAAGTCAATCGAGCAAATGGGCAAAAAACTATTCAGGAAAAGGAACTTCAATTAGAAAAATTAGCAGTCACCAGGTAAAAAAAAAAAAAAAAGAAAAACGTTGGCGGAATACAACCGCTTTCCAAAGCAAACGAGTGTATGTGTGTGTAAGTGTATTTCTAACAGTCCTAGTACCCTGGCGTCGGAAACGACCTATAAGAGGATGTGTTAAAGGATGGGGGGAAAGTGCCTATGCACTTTGCGTCCCAATTTTCTTTCAAAACTGATGTTAGTAGGGTACTCTACATCGAGTCTTACATACTAAGTTAGTACTTATAACTACTAGCTTTATTTCCATACAACTTACAAACACAGCCTCAAAAATCCGGATGCATCTCGTCGAGTAGAGAACGTTCTTCTTCCTTCCAGACTCGAATCAATCCTTAGAGTCATTGTATTGTAGTCGTTAACCAGATACCTAACCTAAAACAAACAGAAGAATTAGCAAGTTTTCTTAAATCGGAGATGTGCCCTTGAAGGAGGAAACAGAATATTCTGACGCCAAAAAGCTTAACACTCACCTGCAATCGGAATCCAACGTCCCTTCGGACCCATGACGGGTTTCTTCAGTACGGTCGGTCAGAACATTCTGTTTCCTCCTTCAAGGGCACATCTCCGATTGCCAGCACAAATGGCTGATGGAATTAATTCTCCGCTTCCGTCCGACCAGTCCAGCTTTTGCAAACGTCACTCCAGTAAAATTTAATGGTTCCTGCATCGTGGTGGTTGTGACAGTCAACGAAACACCTCATCCAACCGCATCCACTTCCGAGGACAGCTTTTTTCGAAACGGTGTCTAGTTCCGTTGCACCGTGCACTTTCCACTGTCGGGGAGAAGCTAAAGATCGCGACACCATGTTTACCGGTTCGAATCAGCAATCCACACACGAAAAAAAAAACACAAATTAAAATCAATCCGCACCATCGCCGAATTCACTTTCACTATCATGATGCGCTTTCCGTTTGACTGATAATTTCGTAAACATTGTTTTGATAGGGGTGTGTACGAGCATGAAAAGCTGAACGTACGCAGCCACTTTTTTGTAGGGATGTTATTCTGCGTCATTTTGCGATGTTTTTCTCTCGAGTAGCGAGGGAGTGTTAAATGCGTGACGAGTGATTCGCCTACAATATTAATTCTGGTATCTGCGCTCTGATACGAGTGAACAGGCGATGTTATAGAATTAAATAATTTTCGCATATTTGATATGTGCGATGGAATTGTTCTGGGAGAGAAAGTAAAAGGAAGTTTTATTTCCTATCCAAAGTTAGGGAACCAGGTTGATAGTAACTTTTAATCAGTCTAAACGGTAGTTTAGGATTGCGCTTCATGTTCGGAGATTGGAATATTGGCTACATACGCGTGTTTATTCTGACGCCAAAAAGCGATTTCGACATTTAGGTTTTTCGGATGCATTCAAACATTAAGATGAAATACAGTATTAACCCGATTTTGACAACAACAACAAAAACTACGTTTTTTTCCCCCGACTCCGGGAAGAATGTAACCAACGGATTTGGTTACATTACCACTTGGTCAATGGGCCAGCTTGATTTCACTGTAAATATTGTAAATAAAATGTAAATATTGTCAGTAAATGTCTAAATGTGAAATAATGCGTCAATTTTCCGTTGGTGTACGTTTGAGAGACTCGTTATTTCATGTTTAATAGCCGTCGGTTGGTGTCAAGTAGTTTTTCTTTCATTTTGTCTATGTCATTAAATAAATTTAAATCCAGTATAAATTTTGTAGTACCATATGTGAATTTGTTTATCCAAGACACCAACCTGTATATATATATTTGTTATAAAATGCTGTCTGTTCCTGTCATCCTTGCTGTTCGTCCGTGTTAGTATGTCTATTGCATACATGCGCGGGAAATTGGAACCTATGGCGGTTGGGAGCACATATAAATAAAACAGTGATCGGTGTCGGTAAGAGTGCGCGTAGGTAGCGTCGTCGCAAGTCCAAGAACGACCAAGCGTTCAAGAAGTGAATATTTTTCAAACTCGCGACAAAAAGTGGACGATCGATCGTGTAGGGTCAGCCGGAAGCACTGCAACGTACAAATTCCCGGCTGTAGCCCTTAGTAGCAGTGAGTGCCTCCTCTGAACCGGTCCTGTGAACGCAGGCCATCCACTACCATGGCCGAGTTACCATTTTGTTTGGTCTCGGCGGCCATTGGCCGCCCAACGTTTCAATCGATCGGATTGGGGTCAACCGCTCCGTCCGAACAGTTACCGTCGGAGCTCCCAGCCGCCCGCCAGCCTCATCGAAGCCAACCCGGCTGCAAATCACGGATCCGGTGAACCAGAACGGCCGCAGCGGTACCGCAAGTAAATACTAACCCCAAAATTGAAAAAAAAAAAATATAAAATGTAAGGTCAAAAGATAAAATCTAAGTTGTGTTCATTATTGTTAAAGAAGTCTTTTGTCCTTCATTGTTCCATTTAATTATGAATTGTGTTGAACTTCGCCCAGTGACCAAGTGTGAATAGGGAAGAAAGTAACCCCTAAAGAAATTCTCCGGCGGACCACCATAAGACCCTGATAGCCAGGGCAACTAGCTGCAAAAGAGGCCTTTGTCGGTTGCCGTGGCTAGACCAGCAATCGGGGGCTTTTCCTCCCAGGGGCCCTTCTGGCCTCTGTCAAAACAGCAAGTTACAGAAGATGATTTTTTTTTTAAATTACTTTATTTGTACAGGCTCAATCGAATAAACTTTACAGAGCCGAGTTATCCTTTCCATTATTCATTATTACTGTCTTATATTTAAAGTTAAAGGAAAGTGAAGAAGATGATGATGATTCCCTGATGACTAGAAAGTCGAGAAATGTGATCAGATAGTCGATAAATCAGATAGTCTAAACGGATATTAACTGTGGTAGCATCAAATCTCTGATCAGCAGCAGACAATGCGATACATGATTCGTTGCGAATATCTGTAACCTTGCATTTGAATTCGAAGAATTTATACTTGCAATCTGTATCAGAGATATCTATATTTTAGTTACAAAATCTTGAAAACATATGGGTTTGGGATTTTAAAACGATTTTTATCTAATCTTTCAGTATTTTAAGAATTGTTTATTGACATGTATTTTGAACATTTTTCTAAGTCCTAAATGTATGAAATTAATTATATTCGTACATTGTCATATTTCAAAGTCAGAGATTTAAAATTCCTATAAGTCCTAGAATTTAATGATGGTACCAATTTCTGATATATTGATGATTAAATACAGACGATCAAAACAAATCTAGTTACCCAATTCAGGGAATTATCTAACTCTGAGAGTTATCTGACATTAGAATTTTCTTATGTTTGAGATCCTTGAAATCCTTATCCTTAAAAATCCAGACAATATGTAATTTAATTACAAAATGCTTGAACAAATGATCATTGCTTGTTCAAAATCAGTTAGCCTTTAAGGCTCCCCCAAAGCGTTGTCATGAAATATATATTATAAAACTTAATGCTTCACCCTTAACATAATAGAAAGCCCAATATTATTGGAAAAAGTGGAAAGGTTTCGAACAGGAAATTAAAATGACAAATAGCCTTGACGCCTTTTTATTGAATAGCAGTTCCAGAGTTTCTATTTAACCGTAGTTTAACAGAACAAAATAAAATGCTACAGGCCCCTAGGCCCCTCGAATAAAATTTTCTAGCTACGCCAATGCTTATCACTTGCAAAAAATCAGATCGATTGGTAAGAAAAATACCAAACAATAGCGCTGGAATGAGCTTGCTGCCTACTGTGTATATCGTAGAATTTGTGTATTAGTGTTCGACATTCTACATACTTCAAATAATTTGAGAAGGAATCCCTACTTCTCAACATTGCACCATGAATTGGAAGCATTCCTTTAACACCTTTAAGCTCTTTAAGCATTCAGCCTTACAAGCAAACGTCACAACTCACGCTTGCACCACGCTGCCCGGAATGCTTGTAAACACTCCGAACACACCACTATAGTCCGTTGTCCTGGTGCCCTACAGAGCCACTATGAACCTCCTTCCATCACACTTCGCGCTCACTGCTGCTGCTGCTGCTGCTGCTGAGTTACTGTCCATGGCCAGGCCATCATCGTATAAATATCGTGAAAGAAAGTGTATCCTGCAGCTGGGAAGCAAGATAGATAGCGCTCAAGCAAAACGTTTCCAGTAATGCTTCCTGCTGCATTTTACAATCTGCAAGGGCGCTCTGGAAATAACTTTTCATACTCTGTACATCATAATTTATAGCAAACTAACATTTCACTGAACATTTGCTCCACGCTAACGTTTTGTTCCATTATTCTTATTCTCATTTTCCATTTTTTTACAACTTCAATTCCGGTCACGTTGCTGCTTTGTATCACTCCGGGGACAACAATAAAATCCACAACATCAACAAAAACAACAACATCAACAACGGTCATCATCAATAACAATAGTGGAAGTCCTGTTCCTGGCGTGGGGCGTTCGACTGTGCATCATGGTTCGGAAGGCCCCGTCGGAGTTCAACGAAAGTCGATTTATTTCGATGGCAATCTACAACGAATTCCTTCTGACGTGCTTTCTTAATGTGTCGATGTAAGTAGAATATGGCGTGTGCTCTTGCTCTGGAAGCATCCGAAGTATGTGCCCATATGGTGGTGGATGGGACATGTATGGTTGTTGGTATATGAACAGTACACCCACTCACTGACACTGGCAGCGTTCGTGGTACCATTGTATCAAGGCAGGCGTTGATGCCGGGTGGGGTTTGTGCACTGTGTCGCTGTAGCACTACATAAATCACGCTGCTCTGCGAGTAGGGGAGAACATTCCATAATGCACCCCTGGGGTAAAATTGCCTTGCGCGATTTTCCATTGCTTTCCCATTACTAATTCTGGGATTTGATGTACCAGAATGCTAGTTCAAGAGCTTAACTAGCAATGCTGGTCGTTGGATTCACGAATTGACAATCGGAAAGCTATGGAAAACAGTACGGGACCATTTTACCCCATGGTGCGTATCACCACACCTCACGCTACTAGTAAATATCAGGTAACATGGTGTGTAGTACCTGCCAATGGTGTTGGTGAAACGAGATCCTATTTCTACATTGTAATGTTTTTCAACACGGGAGTCGCCAGCAGATGGCATGTCAAATATCGTTAGCGTCACGGCTAAGTGCATTCGTCATTGTTTCTCATTTTCCGCGGGGAACTGGTAGAATGCACAATACATAGGTATTGAAGCTCTCTGAAAAGTAAGTAATCTGCTATCTGCTCTGCTTGTCCAATTTGGCAGGAACATATTTTCGAAACAATGTTGGATATGTACCACATGATTTCTAATCTATTTTCTTTATTACAACCAAATTTTGAGCATTAATTTGGCAAACTTTTATGAAAGGATAAATGTATCGGGTTTGTTATATTGCATTTTAAATGCAAGTCTCTTCGTAAAAGGGCTTTGCTGAAATATATCACTGATCGAATTATCACCGCTACGAAACGAAAACGACAAAGTCCCTTATAAGCTGGGATTCGCATCGATATAGTTCCAGTCGGTAGGTATCCAATATTGCGGCTATCATGGAAAAAGGAGGGGTTCCAAAATGCATTTAGCCATGATCAATACATCGTGGAGCCTTGCCAAGCCATGAAGCAAATGAAAGACGAGGTAGGGTGAAAGATAGCTTCGGTAATACTTTTACCTATTATCGTCAATTTACTTTTAACACTTTAGGTATTTGTTTCAAATTCACATTAAATTACATTCATGTTTTAACCTAGTAGTTCCAGCTACAAAAGTGACTTACCAACAGTGCAGTAAAAAATCTAAATCAAATGATAATATCTGATGATTTTGAGGGACGCATTTATTCATTTTCATCGAGCCACTTTTTGATCATTTGATTTTTGATTAGCGCTATCATTTGAGTAGTTCATCCTCAATTGACTAACCGTACGAGTTCTTTTGACAATGTGGATGTTTAATGATATTTAGTCAACGATCCCATGAACAAGAGTGAACGACGCGACAGGCTGTCAATTCGAAGAATGAACGCAGGAAAAGCCGTTTCTGCTTTTGTAAACAATGATTTCTACCACTGATTGCCCGGGACGAAGAGCACACCCACGCAAACATATTTTGGTAACTGAAAGAGAACACCTTGCTCTTTCTGATGATGTTGCAAGTTTACGTGTGTTAAGGCGGTACGCTGTGACATCCTTATTCTCGGAACCACCTCGAAGCATTAAGTGTGCAAATAAAAGCTTCTACGACACTTGCAATATTCAAATTGTTGTTCCACGTTTGCTGCACTGCAGCATACATGAACTAGCAATTTCAAATGAAATGGGGCACTGATTTCCGAGACTTGTGTAATCGAAAATTTGAAGTGGAAGTACATGTATAGCCTACGAGGTGGCCATTTATGGACTCTACAAGGAATCACCTTAACTTCGATTCACGAGAAATCAGCTTTTAGTCATTGTGCAATTATGCACTTTTGAAATGTTGGCACTGCATTCATCAGAAGACCAACACAGTGTACCGCACAGTGAGGCACCGACAGTAATTTATATGCCGAATTAGTGGTAAGTATACAACATGACATTAGCCCATATTCCATTACTTCAAGAAACCCTTTTAAACAAATGTTCATGCAGTACCTATAAAAGCAGAGAAAACAAAAACAATCACCCAATTTACATCATCAAAACCATCATTAACCCCCAGTAGATACATACATGTGAAAAGTCAAAAATAAAAACATCGACCCAAGCAGCAAGTTGGGAAAACTTGTATTTTTTAAGAGAACCTTGAGAGGAACTGTGTTGGCAATTACACATGGTGATTCATCCGAGTAGCTGTATCGATCATTAGGCAAGGTAACCGACCATTCGCTTCATTTAAATACTGCATTTTATTTTAAAGACTGCTTGGTTAATGTGTGCTTTCACATTTGTACGACTCATCTTAATTCCAAGTGTTGCACTCAAAGGATCATATGTCTGACGTAGGTGCTCCCATCCGAAGCATGTTAACGGGAGATGATGATGCGTAACAAGTTTTACGCTTGAATCAACCAAATATTGTTTATCGATAGGAACCGCTGTTTTCGGGATGCTCCGAGGATTTTGTTCAAGACTTGTGCGCAGGTCGCCCATTAACCCGTGTTGTGTGGCCAAATTCATGTGCTATGATCTAAAGTGCCGGATGAAACAGTCGACTTCGTACTTTGATTGAATGTGCTTGCACTTTTCACCTTTAATCTGGCAAAAAGCGCGGTCTCCGGTTTGGTGCACGAATTGACCAGCCAGGAAAGGCTTGTTTTTCCTTCGCTGTTAAGATTAGATGTACTCTCCATTTTTCGAATGATAAATAATTTATCTAATCTCATGGAAATCAATTGATAAAATTGGACCGACTCAAATGATATGATGTTTGTATCAAATGACAAAAGTGAACAATTTGATTGGGCATGCATAATGTATTGAATGATCGTTTGATCATTTAAATGAGCATATCAAAGAAACGATACGATTGATCCATGAATGATCGGTCAAATCAAACCGTTTATGAATGAATATGATGATAAGTGAGAGGTTGCCAGATTTGACTGACCAGTTTTTTGTTTTGATTTTTAAAAGAATGAGACATTTTACCGCACTGCTTACCAACCTTTATTGAAATGATATTATATCTAGGTGTGTTAGGGCAAGATCGTGGATTCCGGTGGGGTATTTGGGATCACACACAGACACAAGTCACCAAAAACGGAACGGAAAAATCTGCGGAGTAGGCATTCAATTTCACCAAGGATGTAATTTAGACACTGTTGGTACTTGAGAAGTGAGAAAAGTAACGTCGAGGTGACGTGACTTAATGTGTAAATAAAATGGAGAATCGCGTCACAACGACGTGACTTTGGTCAGTTTGACTCTCGGAATAACCCCTTTTGACGCCACATGAAGTGAATCTTTTTAGGGGCACTGGATCATCTTTAATCTTTTTCGTGTGTATGTTATATGCCAAAATATTTGCAATGGAATGCTAAATAACTTTGTTCCATAACTGTTTACATCATCACTATGGTAAATTGTGTCACTACTCCATCTTCACTATAAATTCATACTATTATGATCGTCAATCAATGATAAGTGGATGGTGATCCAGTACGTAATGTTGTTGGATGATTGATGTAGGTGCTTGACAATATTGTGGAATGCACACAAAACAAACAGGTTGCTATGTCACCTTGACATTGATAAACGAGCAACTCGAGCAGGGATCGGCTAAAAACTCAGAGTGGTGTAAAAAACATTGGTGCTACTCTCAAATACGGAAGAGCTTCTCTAATATTTGAAAGGAGAAAGAGACAAAGAAGAGACAGCTCTCATACCTAAGTGAGAGTAGTTGGATTGCACAGGTGTTACTTGCGTATAGCACAATCGAGTAGTGCACGGTGTTATGACGGGAGTAGCACTTTATCAATCACGGGAAACGTGACTTAGAGATTTACGGGAAAGACTACAAACGTTAGGCTGGGAGCAAAATATTTAGGCACTCATGTAATATATGTTGCAGTGAATGTATGGTGTTCAATAGCGTGAAAAAATACTAAGGCTTGTACTCGAAAAAAATGCACCATTTTTATCCATGTGTAATTTTTTTATCCGTGGGTAAAAATTGATGAAAATCTGGGTATAACTAGTTTGGAGTGAATTGTTTACATGTGCAAAATTTCATAACAATCGGTTCAGTGGTTATTAAGATGTCATCGAAACAAGAAGCAAATCGCTGGAGAATTTTGCGCACCGTCATGGAAAATCCGACTGCGACCATGAGATGGATCGGAAGACAACTGGGAATAACCCATACAACTGTGGTAAATCGTTTAAGGAGTCCCAGACGACCGAGCGGCGGGCTGGAAGTGGAAGAAAATCGAAAACAGCTGACCCTGTGAAGGCCCGGAAGGTGTTGGATTATTTCAAGCGTAATCCGAACCGTTCGATTCGCGACGCGGCTCTGAAAGCAAAGTGTTCTGCCTGGTTCGTTCAGCAAACCATTAAACGAGCTGGGCTTCGTGTATTCAAGGTCCGGAAGGCACACGGCGGCCAAATCCCACGCAAGGAAGCTGTATCGAGAGTGGTTAACGAAACCGATGTGTGTGGTTATGGATGACGAAACCTTCATCAAGGCAGACGCAAAGCAGATACCGGGGCTGGAGTTCTACGTTGCCAAATCACGGTTTGATGTTTCGGAAGACATAAGGAAGAAGAAAGTGGACAAATTCGCCAAAAAAAACCGTACATCACAATGGGTACCATCAACAGCGAAATTTACCGCACCGAGTGCCTCCAGAAGCGTCTGTTGCCCTTCTTGCGGTCCCACGGAGGCGAGACATTATTATGGCCGGACCTGGCATCATGCCATTACGCGCGATCGACGTTGGATTGATACAGAGACAATAACGTTGTTTTTGTGTCAAAAAACGCCAACCCCCCAAATTTACCAGAGATTCGTCCGGTGGAAAGATTTTGGGCCATAATGAAGGCCAAAGTTCAAAAACCGTTCAAGGTGCTTAAGAGCTGGA